CAAATTGGAAGCAAGACATCTTAAAGATAAGTTTACATTAATAATAGTGCTCATACTAATAAAAAAAAACAAACCATGTCATTAGTTGTGAATGTGTTTCTTTTGGAAATTTTACATTCCTTTGTTTTTGAAGATTGGCAGACTTTGAAGAGTTAAAAAGATGATACCGAAATGTGAAGTTTGGTAGCTCTGTTTTGTACTTGACTTTTTTTTTTGACCACTTTAGAATTTCTCATTCTAATAAGATTGTTTCCAAGTCTTTCCTATGTGCAAGCTTTAAAGGATGCACTCTTGCCAATTCATGTACTGGAAGATCAGTTTTCTGGCAGAAATGTAAACTGTATAAACTGATGAACCTCAGCTAATCAGTATTACTATGTAGATCACCATGCCTACCACATTTCAAACTCAAACTGCCTCTTAGGTGTCCAAATGTGTTTGAGTTTGCATTTCCCTCGGCTTGCTGGTAATTGTGGTGTTTTTAAAATGGAGATGTGATGTAATATTCTTATTTTCTTTGGATCAAAGCTGGACTGAAAATTGTATTGTGTAATTATTTTTTGTGTTCTTAATGTTATTTGGTACTTAAGTTGTAAATAACGTCTACTGCTGTTTATTCCAGTTTCTACTACCTCAGGTGTCCTATAGAGTTTCTTCTACCAAAGTTCACTTTCACAATGAAATTATATTTGCTATGTGACTGATTCCTAAGACTTCCAGGGCTTAAGGGCTAACTTCTATTAGCACCTTACTGTGCAAGCAAATTTTACAGAAATCTCTGGGTTAAGAAATTTGGCTTCATTGTATCCTTTGTTATTTTAAATATATCAAGATATTTTAATTAAAAGTTTTTACCCCATTGAACCAATTTTATATAGTATAATTTGTACGTATTTTGGTGGTTTTTGTCTTTATAGCAAATAAAAGTTTTTGAACAAACTTTGTCCTTTGCTTACTGTAAGACAAACATATTCCTTTTATTAATGGAAATAAAATATTTCTGGTACACTTCACTGTTTATACACAATTTCATACACCTGATATATCGAGACTTATTTTTCTAATAAAGGGCAACAAAAAAGACTAATTTTTTAAAATTAATGATAAGGAAAGGAACTTCTCATGTGACAGCACTGTTATCTACAAATCTCACTTGATTATGCCTTCAATACAGAAATTGTCTAAATTTTGCCTTACTGCAAAGGTAACAATTATGTATTCAAGTGAGCTGGTTAAGTCAGTTCTGGAGCCATTGAAGTGTGTTGGAAATCAATCTGTTGTTTTATGTTTCTGGTGAAATTATTCTGTTGCTTGAGATTTTAATAGCAAACATAAGCCTTTTATTATTCAGGCAATCCATATATTGCAATGCTAGGGCCTGTTTCAGTTCTTGTCTTTCTCCAGGTATTTTTCAAATTTTAAAAATTTATAATTTTTTATGGAAACAGATTTAATCTATAGGCTTTCTTGTGACTATAAAATACGTATTTCGAAGGACTGCATTTTTTATTATTTTTATTAGGTATGAGACTTTCTGCAGATAGATACAAGTGTATCAATTTAGTAAAAACTGGCAGCAGAAATCTTCAAATAAATTCTAATACCTGATTTCTCAAATCAGAAAAATTTACTACCTGAAATGTCAGAAAGGAAAATGCATGGCAAGGATTGAGTAGGAGATAAACTTACTGTAATGTATCTGAGTTGCTATAGAAGTTCTGAATCCTGCAGTACTGTGTCCTGCTTGTGATGTTGCAGCCTCCTTTCTAGGAACGAGGAATGGCAGAGATCACTGGTGCCCAGCAGATTACAGTAAACTTCAAAGACGCCTACTTAGGGAGCCAAGTATGTGCACAGGGCATGTTCAGTTCTTGCACAGGGAAAGGGTAAGCTCCATGCCTGGTGTGACTTCTCCAGTGAGAATAAAAACACATTTCTGCGTGTTGGTCATAGGTTGAAGTCTGATGGCATTTCATCTTTGCAAGTTCTCTCTCGAGGCTAAGGAATGCCTCCAGAACATGTTGGAATGTCACATATGTCCTTTCATCACACGAAAGTGGGCAACTTGTGTGCATGGCAGTTGTGACCTGACAGCCCACCTCCCAAAGTTCTCTATTTCCCTTACTAACTTTTCACTCGTTGCTTAGTCTTCCTTAGTGACCTGAATCACACTGTGACTGCCTTACTTTTCAGAGCCACAATATGTGATGTGGTGAACGTGTGCTATTTTGTGGTTATAGCACATGGCTGCTGAATACTGACGGGCAAGTCTTGAGGTGAGACCGTTCTTCCCTGTAATTACCGAGGCTTACTAACTTTTCACTCGTTGCTTAGTCTTCCTTAGTGACCTGAATCACACTGTGACTGCCTTACTTTTCAGAGCCACAGCATGCGTGTGATGTGGTGAACATGTGTGCTATTTTGTGGTTATAGCACATGGCTGCTGAAACCAGACTCGCAAGTCTTGAGGTGAGACCTTTCTTCCCTGTAATTACCGAGGAAGGCCAGGAGATGGCAGGGAAGCACTTTGCGGCAGCCACTGTGCCGTTTCCTGCGTTTTTCCTCAATTTCTTCCGTTTGCACTACCTCTGCGCTAAGCTCCTGTTCTTGGAAGGGGTGAGGCAGGCCAACTGGGGAATTGAAGTGATTGTGGAATAAATCAAGGCACAACTTTAAATATTTGTAAAGCTCTGAGTTGGTACGTTAATTCTGATAGTTACATTGCTTTGATGGGCCTGTCTCAAATTTCCCAAACCCTTGTCAAAATTTCAGGCCCAGAGGAAGGACTGTAACCCCTTAGAGTGTTTTAAATGTCTGATTTCTCTATTTACTCCAAAACCAATTCTCAGATGCTCCATATTTTTAAACTGCTTTTTGAATAAAGTAAAATACATACATACGTGTTCTTTTTTCCCAGTTCATTGTGTAATAAATAGGTGTGATTCATGCTGATAAAATTGAAACAGTAATCAATACTGATACAGTAATTAATACTTGGAAATAACAAAACAGTTAAAGGTGTAATGCCAAGAAAGAAAGGGAGAGGAGGGGCACCCCCCTTTCTCCTGCAGATGTTCAGAACAAGAAGCAAGAGAACTATTACTAAATTTAGTTGGAAGAGAGGAAAATTTGGTTGGACATCCAGGAAAATGCTAATTATATGAGAATTATTGCTTTGATGCCAGAACATAGTATTGGCTTGTATGATATTAGCTTTGGCTTACATTGTACCAGCTTGGTGCGCATGTGTAGTCCAAAAGGTGAATCAAAGGATGGCGAGGAAGAGGAGAGGCCTTCTTCAGGAATGACCCCCAAAGAGTGGTGCGACCACCTAAAAAATGGTGGAGCGTGCGTGGTAAAGGTGATGATGAGGGTGGAGGCACAGGTGTGACGAATCGAAAATGGGAGGAGATGGTAATGACGTACAGCACAAAAGGGGGAATTTTGGTTTGGCAAGCTTGTACGGGAGGGAACAGGGGTCAAGCCCTGCCCTCTGTACCCTGCGCTACCCCATGCAGTTATTTTTGCTTCTGTGCTATTATAAGAACCTAATTATCCCTTATTTTAACCAAATTATATTGTCAATATTTCAAGTGTATTCAATTTTATATATTTTAAGCTACTTAATTAAAATTGCTGCTACATTTAATTTCACTGGGTTTCTTTTATGATGGGATAATTGGGCAAATACAACAATTGGCAGTGTTAAACTAAAACTGAAGATGAGCAGCATCCAAAGATTTAAGTTTCATGAAACTGGGTATCCAAGCAGCCAAAGGACAACAGTGGCCAAAAATGATAACAGTACCCTTATCTTTACACCTGTGGTGGTTTGTAGAGAATTATTTGAGGACCATTGCTAATTTCTGAAGACCAATTGCTGAGTGATTGTTTTCCTCACTAGAGTTTTGGGATTTTTTAAATTAGCTTAGAGATAAGTGATGGTAGAATGTGGCACCAAAAGGGCTTATGCACCTGTTTGTAAATGCTCGTGATTTGTAGTATATCCCTTCAATCTGTGTACTTCGATGCTGCTGTTGCTGTACATCAGTCAGTGGGAAACACCCTTAAATCCACAGTAGCTTATGATGTTACAAAGTACAAGTCTCGTCTCCTTGTTACCACAGCCACATACTAGCTAAAAGTGTGGACAGAAGTGTAACAAGGCTCACGTCTATAACTGAGCCACCCTTTTTGACTACATGGATCACAACTCTGGAGGACAAGTGTTAGGAGGAGCAGCTGAGGGAGCTCGGGTGGGGTGGGGATGGGCTCAGCCTGGAGAAAAAGAAGTTCAGATGAGACCGTCCTGAAAGCAGCCAGGTCGGCCTCTTCTCCCAGGAAACAGACGTGAGGATGTGGCCGTGACTGCTGCGAGGGAGGTTCAGGTTGGGTATTAGGAGGAATTTCTTGACAGGGAGGATGATTAGACGCTGGAAGGGGCTGCCCGAGGAGTGGTGGAGTCGCTGTCCCTGGAGATGTTTAAGGGGAGATTGAGCAGTGATGCTCACTGTGGTGTTTGGTTATAGGATGGGCTCGATCTGAGAGGTCTTTTCCAACCTAATTAGTTCCGTGACTGTCTGAGGCACTAACAGCCCTGAGCATCGCTAGAAGCAGGCACTGGATGATTTTGGAGAGGTGATCTGACAGTGTAAGGAGTGGTCTTTAACGGCCGCTTCTAGATAATTTTTAAACCACCTTTTCATCTGACCTTGTCTTTTGGGATTGTTCAGTACAACACAGGAGGTGCAACGTAGCATTGTTCCGAGAGACCTGCGTGTATTTCCGTATGTAAGCGTGCCCCCAGAGCTATGCGTTTTCATTCCCGGTTCTGGGTCTCGCCCCTCGCTACCGGCGGCGCGCGGCCAGACCCGGGCCCGCTCCGGCCGCTCCCCTCACGGCCCGAGCCGGCCGCTCGCAGCCAATGGCAGCCCAGGACACAAGCGCGCGGGCGTGTGTCGGGAGCGCCGATTGGTTGTTCCAGTTTGCGCGGGCGCGGCTCGGCGGGGGGCGGGGCCGCGGCCGTGAGGGAGAGGCCGCCATGCTGCGGGAGCTGCGGCGGCGCTGGCGCTCCTACAAGTACCGCTTCGTGCCCTGGCTCGCCCTCAACCTCCGCCGCCAGCGCAGGTGAGGCGCGGAGAAAGGCCCCGGGCGCCAGCCCAGACCCCGCTGCCCCTCGTCGGGATGGTCTGGGGCGCCGCAGGGGCTCACTCGGGTTTGTCACTCAGAAGTGCTTCAGTCGCCCCTCGGCTGTCATGAAATTCTTAGTCAGACACCTTAAAATTATATTTAAATATGAAGATAGATAGAAAGGACAAGATAAATAGTTCTTGTTGGTATGATGTATGTGTGTGTATGCCCTACTTCAATCATAAAAATAGTTCATGAAATTCTTAGTCAGACACCTTAAAATTATATTTAACGTTGAAGATAGATAGAAAGGACAAGATAAATAGTTCTTGATGTATGTGTGTGTATGCCCTACTTCAATCATAAAAATAGTGTTTGAATTTAAGTTATTATGACTTGGTTGTAAGTTTCAAAAATAAAATAGGTAACTAAATTATAACCTTCCTTGCCCATGCAATATTTGTCATGCCTCATTTAAAGTGTAATGAACTCTTTGTGTTTTTAAATAAACATGATAATTTCGTTTTCGGTGTTTTTTTTATTATGAGCTCTATAGGGTTTAACCTGCTTGTGGTAAATACTCAGAGATGATGATTTATACTGAAACAGATACTAGTTTTTATTAAACACTCTTTTAGTGTTTTAAGAACAGTGGCTTTAGCTTGAACAAGCATGAAAAAAGCTTGGGGTTTTCTAAAACAACAAGTGTATCAAAGTTACTGGCGCTGCAAAATGGCTCTTCTCAATTTAGAAAAAAAAAATGTAACATATGCTTATTATTTTAAAATATTTTATTTCCTTTGCAGGACCCTTCGATATGTTCCTGAAAGCTCTCAAGACAAAATTATTGCTGATGAAGATGTTTTTGAAACACTAGTGAAAACATTTAAAGCTCTGTTCATAAATGACTTCAGTAGACAAGCAGATATTCTGGCCTTGCTTCCAGAAGTCAAGTGTCAATATCTGGAATTACTTACTGTGGAGCAGCAGCGGTCAGAAGTAAATTCTTGTAACCATCAGGGTCAGCAGGTGTTTAGTCCTGAGGAAGTTTTGTTTAACACGCTTGGGTTCACTGTTAGCAGAGACCGGAGTTCGCTGGTGTCTGCTGGAACTGGAGTCTTTGTTACCAGAGGTTCTGTTCCCAAAGGGACGGTTGTGTCTATGTATCCTGGTAATGGAGCGTTCTTATTTTTGATTAAGTTAGATGGGACTTGTAACCATCTGATCGTGGAATGCCAAAGAGCTACACTAATTTTTATTCTATGGGTTTCCTTTCTGTCATTCCTTAACAAAATCACTGGTTAGGCTGCATGAGAATATTTATAAACTATCTAGAGTTATTTTAGAAATACAAAAAGCAATATTGGGAAGGATAATTTTGTTTATAAAAAATTTTTAGTACTTAAAGCCTGATTTTCCTGCAGCTGGAAAACCTGTTCCAGATTCTTTAAATGTAGGTGCACAGGAGAAATTTAACAGAACAGTTTAATTCTTTGGGGTTTCCATTTTGGTTCAGGATTTGAAAAATGAGGTTTGAGATCTCCACGCAGGTCAGTAGACAATTGCATGAGCTTCTTCACAGTACAGAAGTACAAAATGGAGAATGAAAATAAGACCTTCATTTAGCAGAACTTTATTCCATGAAGTGTGTTTGGAAAGATCAATACTTCTGTCTTCCTTATTTCTTGGAACTGTATTTGCATATGTTTCTTAAAAAGGTTTGTAATTTATCGGCGTGGTCAATCTAGCAGCTCTGCTGAGTTGCTTTGGGTTTGTTTCTGTTTCATCTGCCAGCAGAATCGTCCCCTGTGGTCTCTGGCTGGTGCCAGCGAGGCAGCATCAGGAGCAGTCCCAGCACTCTCTGGGCAGTGGAGTGCATTTTCTGGAGTGCCTGCCCATTGCCATTGATTACTCCTGAACTGACTGGTTGTTAAGTGACAGCGAGAGAGCCTGCCACTTTTGCAGCTCCCTTCAGATTTCAGGCACATACTAGATGTGAGCCTAGGCTCATTCAGAGTCTCCTGTGACAGCTTTTCTAGCAAAACAAGAGGAGGGGCTCTTGAAATGTCTTCTCAGGGTAAGGATCTGCCAGGCTGGGCATGGGACCTGTGCACAGGACTGCAGCCTGCCTGGGGCCTTTGCCTGGCTCCTTGTGAGATTGCAGTGCAGGATTTCTGCAGAGAGGTGCTGAAGATGTAGTGGGTGTGAGGGATGCAGGACAACGTTTTCATAAAAATTGGCACGCCAGTCAGCTTGCCACTTGCTTTTCTCTGCTTGGAAGTCGTGGCAAGTTAAATCCTCTCCTCAGATTTGGAAAACAGTCTGCTGAAACATTTTCTTCTTGGTTTGTCATTTTTCATCTCCTGGACCAAACAAAATCCCTGCAGTAATGGAGGGAGGTGTTTCATATTCTTTGCTGAATCTGTGTGTGTTTTTTGGAGTCCTGATGCAGTAGTGATCAAACAACTTAGCTGTGTTTTCCTGAGCAAGTACTGCCTGATGTTTTCATCTCTGAAGCACGCTAGTTGGCTGTAGGGCTTCATCTGCTTCTCCCAAGGATATTTGGTTGAGGCGTTCTATGATTTCCTGTAATCCATCTCTCTTTGTAATATACCAGCTCATTTAGTTGAGAGGGGATTTTTTACATCTGAAAAAGTTGTGTCTGAAAGCTTGTAGGTTTACAGATGTCATTGTCACTGAGTGAGAGGGGACTTCTGTCCTACCCACTGTCTCTCCTTTGAGTTTCTGTGTGGAGGGGACTGAAAGCCCATTCTGACAGTTTTTTTCTGTTTTCTTCTGAAATAATATCTGTCTTGCAACAGGTACAGTATACAGAAAGCATGAGCCCATCTTTTTCCAGTCCCTTGGCAATCCCTTTATTTTTAGGTGCATTGATGGTGTCCTTATTGATGGGAATGATAAAGGACTGTCAAGATCAGTGTACAGGTAAGCAGAAGAAATAGAGAATTATCACTCACCTGATTTAAAACAGGGGTACTCCTCATTTTAGTTCCCTGTTTCTTACCCTGAGTTGTACATGATTTTCATCCACCTGTGCATTGCTCATATAATGCAAAAAGCACAGGGGTGAGAGATGTTGGATGTGATCCTTTATGTCCTTGTGTCTTCATCTGTAACACCAGTGAGATGCATTTTGATGTAGAGACTTTTCTGTACAGAAAATAGTTGTACTAAAGCGGATGTACTGTAAAAGTATTGAAATGTTTCTGAGCTGTTACTCAGATCTGCTTACTTCATTAAGTTCAAGTCCCTGCTCCTTGTGGGACTAAAACTGAACTGTGTGACTAGGATCACCACAGACAGTTCAAGGAACTGTGACAGATTTGGTGCTGTGACCGTTCCCCAGAGGAGCACTGTGACTGGCCACCCTCTCAGTGAAGAATCTTTTCATAATGTCCAGTCCAGACTTCCTCTGACACAGCTAACTGGTTGATTTACCTTAAAATGCAATTTGTGTTTAAATGTGATGTGAAAACAGCTGGGAGGTTGATATGAAATAATACCTAGTTTGAATAGTAATACCCACTAATACCAGATTTTAATTTCTCGAATGAGTCGAAAGCTAATATTGTAATGAGTCTTTGCATTTTAAGAGATGAAAGGTGTTGACACTTCTGTAATGGCAACATCAGATGTTGATTTGTGGAAGAGCGTGTGGTACTTTTGTGCAGGTTCTTCCACCAGAGTCTGAAGGACACCACAGAGTAGTGGGAGCTGTTGGTCTATGCACATGCCCTCCACCCCATGTGGGTTGGGCAGCTCTAAGTTGATGCAGTGACTGTGGCCATTCCTACAGAGGAAGTAAGATATCCTGTTAGACGAAGGAGCCGTGATCCCTGCTAAAGCTGTTGGGCATTTCAGGTCTTGCAGCAGAAGAGATCAACTTGGCCCTTTTCAAATGAGTGATGAGAGCTGGCTCACAGCCACCCTGCAAAACCCACTGGCAGTGGGACAGTACGTCAACAACTGCTCACATGGTAAGTTGCCAGGTAAATTTTCCAAGTATGAGTTTGGCTTTATGGATACAAATGATTTTGAAGGTGACACAGAAAATAGGGAATTGATCTGGGGGTGGGCAGTAGTACTGTTTAAAAGCACTTGGGTAGTAAAACTTTTCTGAGGTTTTTTGTCACAGCTGAATGTTAGAATCCTTCCATGCAGCAACACTTCAAATATGCTTTTTCTTTTCTCACTGATGCCCCAATTTCCCTCCTGGTATGTAGAATGAAAGGCACACACCCCAAAAATGAGGTAGTGGGAAAGGATATCTGGCAAAGTACCACCAAGACAGTTTAGAGTTGCAGATCAAGTTTCCCAGTATTGTTCCAAGAGGCTTTGTGAGAAAACTATACACAGTGACATGTACACTAAGATTCTGTCACTGCTCACTTGCTGTCACTTGCTGGAGGAGCAAACTGGGGATTAGCACAGAGATACAGGGGTGTCCCATGAAACTCTTTCTTCCAGGTGATGTCTATGTAAGTGGTGATTTTCTCCCTGCTTGTATTTCTAACATGTTTTGCCACCAGACAAAAATATTTTCCAAATTTTTTTTAATTGTAAAAGCAAACACTGTGTGTTTGGCACTATTAGCAGTGCTGTAAGCTACCCCTGGCACTAAACAAGATATGCCTCTTCACTGACATGTTGATAACTGGGCAAACCTCCTATAGATGATTGCATACCTCTTATGTAATTCAATATAGGCCTTCAGAGGAGTGGTTTTCAGTCTTGGTGAAGCATCATGTTCTTCTGTAGCAGCACATTTGATGTTTTTACACATCTCTTAAGCCCTATCTAATAACTTTTTTTTTATTCCTAGAAAAAGCAGCAAACGTGTGTTATCAAGAGTTTGACGTGCCAGGACATTTTCCAGTAGAATTGAAACAATATCTTCCAAACATCGTCTACAGCCATGACATAGAGAGGTTGGCAGCAAATGAAAGAGCTTGTAGATTTGTATTATACATAGCATACTGCATGTGTAAGGAAAAGACAGACATGGTTGAAAAGTAACAAACCATATGAAGATGGGTTGCACAAAAGTGTGCAACTGTATGGGAGAGTTACCTCTGTGAATAGACTAATTTTAATTACAAGACTCCTCATTCTTTTTTCCACATTTTCACACATGAAATCAGCGTATCTGAAGACACACTTTTACAAGCAGTGTTGCACTACAGTGCAATTCTACTGAATCCCATAAAGCAGTACTTGTACTTTGTATTACAGTACTGAGGCTTTTCAGTACATATCTCACGTCTGTTTCAGCCTTGACCAAAGCCCTTCTGAGATAATTCAGATTTAGGCTTCTTACTCTCTGTTCTCCATCTCTTCTGCTTATGTGACAAATAAGCAGATGAATTTGCAAGAAGAAACCTAACATTGTGTTGAGACAATACAATGTGAAATACTGTGCAATATAAGGGCATATAGTTACAGTACAATTAGTAAAATTACAGCATCCTGTTCATGACTTGAAAGTGCACCTTTTTTCAGAAATTAGAATACTTGGAAATATTTCTCAGATAATCCTTTTATCTTTATTTCAAGGATGTATAAGAATTTTAGAATAGATCATCTGAACTTCTAGTGTAATTCTGGAGTAACTTAAATACTCTTGACACTGGAGAAAGTAGTGGTGCATACTGGAAAAACGGCTTTTCTGATTAAACTTAGAGTTTGTTGAGTGAAGGTTAAAGATGCACTTGGAATCTCTAGATAATTAAATAAGTGCTAATAAAATAAGCAGTAAGACAAAATTCTCAGGAAGCCTGGATACTGTACTTGACGTGTGAAAGCACATAAACTAAAGGACTGCTTCAGGAAGTGGAAATTTTGCTCTTGCTTGGAATCTATCCAAAAAATACAGTCTTCTGGTCATCATTTCTCCCAGTGTGCTGCCACCAGACAAAAGATCCCCTTCATCTGCTTGTAGGTGCTTGTTTCAATACTGATGTATACCATGCTGACAACATAGATTATCTGGTTTCTAGATATTTTTATGTCTTATGAAACAGTTCTCAGTACTTATTTACCTTGTTGTTTCAATATGTTTCAAAATGGCCTCACCTAAATTTTGAATAGTGACGCTGTTTTCCACTTCCTGGTTCATCAGTATGCAAAACATGTGCTCTCCTTCCCAGAATACATACTTCAGTTTTAGGGCATGGTCATTCACTAAAAGGAAGCTCAGAGAGGTGGGTTTCTACATTTCTCTGTGAGGAACTGGCTGCCAGCCCCTGATTTCAGCTGACTGAGGGAGCTGGGGGTGTTTATCCTGGAGAAAAGGAGACTCAGGAGTGACTTTATCACTCTCTACAAGTTCCTGAGAGGTGGCTGTGGCCAGGTGGGGGTTGGTCTCTTTCACCAGGCAGCAGCTGACAGAAATAGAGGACACACCTAAGCTGCACCAAGGGAAAATATAGGTTGGATGTTAGGAAAAAGTTTTTCACAGGAGGAATGATAAATGGAATGGTACTGGAATAGTTTGCCCAGGGAGGTAGTGGAGTCACCATCCCTGGATGTGTTTAAACAAAGACTGGATGTGGCACGTGGTGCCATCCTTCAGTTGAGGTGTTCGGACATGGATTGGACTCAGTGGTCTTAAAGGTCTTTTCCAACCTCGTGATTGTGTGACAGCTGACCATCTGCAGATGGCAGCGGGTCTCTGGTGCAGCTGGGAGCCGTCTTCCTGCGTGGTGGCAGGCCTTAGGAGAGACGCTTTAGCCAGCTGGCGCCTCTGGACAGGTGTGTCCACAGGAGTGGCTTCTGCCACGTGAACTTTGCTGTAGCTTCTGTTCCTGTCTGAGTAAGTGTGTCTCTTGCAGTCTTGACTAATTCTTTTCATCTCTGAATCATTGTGTGGAACAAATGAGTGGAAACACTTCTTTCATACCCACATAGGCTGTTGGTTTTTAAACTATATTGGTTTTCCTTATATTGCTGTCTGTATTCCAGTGTTGTTTTCCCATGTTCCCTGGCCTGCATTACACATATTACTCAAAACTAATCTGGATGAGGCCACTGGCTAGCTTCTTGAAATGAAGAATTATAAACAATTCAAAGAAAAATATAACTGTTCACTTTGACATGTTTTCCTTCTTCTTTTACAGCCACTTGAGGTGCGTAGTTCTGGTCACTCTCAGAGACATCAAGCAAGGAGAAGAACTTTTTTCAAATTATTACACTGTTGTCAGCTGAATTAATACAGTCAAAACTGAAGAAATCTGTGTCAATAAAATATGTATGGTGCCTGTACTTCAAGCTTCATCATCTTTTTTGTGTAAGGGAGAGCTGTAGTTTTACCATCCAGGGAGCAAAACTGTAGGCTTGAATTTCTCTGAAAATGGTCTGGTGAAAATTTAACCATTTATATCATCAGGATCTCAGATGTCTGCTGTTGTTGATATTTCTGTATATTGGTGTTCAGCTGTCCATAAGGTAGTTCATAAAACTAAAACTTAAGCTCTGGACATGTAATTTGATCTACCAGATTGCACAGTTGTCTGTAACTGGACTGTTGTAGTATTTTTCCATTTAATTTCCTATGCTTAAAATGGACACAGCGTGTAAGAATGACTATCCTCTTGGATTGTATAATATATAATGGTAATCCTCATAGTTCACAGTAGTTATTAGGTCTTTTTTTTTTGTTTTCTTCAAGTTGACCCCTTTGGAATCAGCTTGCTTTTAAAAAACACAGCAGTGCAGGCAGTTGTCCTAATCTTGTATGAAGCCCATTGTGGAGCCGTGCTGATGGGCCCCTCAGCTGTACCTGCACAGTGCACTGTCATCTTGGGGCCATCTTGAGCCACTGGCTTTAGCTGTGCCAGTCCTGTGACTCCCCCAGTCCCGATTCCAGTGATTCATGGCAAGTTTCCTGGCATATGGCAACTTCCATTGCTTTTATTCTTCAAGAGGACGTAATTAATCAGTTGCTGGTATAAACAGGGCCAGCTACTCCCATGTTAATTTTGCTGCTGTCTGCAAACTGCTTTCAGAAAGATGAAACCAGTATTTAACTGCAGAAGTCCAAGCAAGCCTCCCAAAGAATTTGTGGTTGGCATAAGCTCATGAGAGAGGAGGAGCTGGGAAACACTGTGCTGTTACAAACTGGGTAGTGGTTGGGGCAGCCAGGGTGCCCTGCTTAGCTGCTGAGGCATCATCTCCTTTTCAGAATGCAAAGCTTTGTGGTGTTTGCATTACGTGGTCTGCTTCCAAGCCTGAACCTTGCCTGCCACTTTCATTTGGAAGGCCTTCACTGCCAGGGGTGGCTGGCTATTTCAGCAGTTCACCAGCAGAGAGCTCTGAGATAGTGGCATCAGGCTCAGCATGGGCCGTGCAAGGTTTGTGATGATGCTCAGGGTGAATTCTGGTGACATTCTTTGTGTCTTCACTGCTTGGTAAGGGATCAGAGCAGTGATCACCAGTCTGCTGAAGAGTGAATTCATCCTCCATGACTTTGGGGATCCGTTCTCCTGAGCTGACTCTTCTCCTCAGCTCCCTGTGAGGTTATTGGGACCTCTTGTGGAGGAAGCTGGGTGTCAAGGGCACTTGCAGTATTCCTAGTGTAGGGGGTGTGGTTCCCCAGGCAGCTCACAAGGCACTCTGGAAGGAGGAGGGCAGGAAAGGTGTGGGTTTGTGTGTGCTGCTTATTTATCCCTTTTGCCTTGCTACTAAAGCTGCTGTTCTTTCCTGGCACTGCTCATCAGACCCTCCCATTAGCTGATCTGACCTGCTAAGCACAGCAACACCATCTCCACCCCATGCTTTCTCTGCTGTTTTGTTCTCTTCCATTGCAGTGGGCTGAAGCAACTCATAGAAAACAACTTAGAGAAGGCCAGAGAGAGCCAGAGAGCAGGAAGCCCATAGGTGGCGTCCGAGTTGCTGATTTGACTCCCTGGGTCTTACAAAGCTGTGCTTTCAGCAGTTCTATTTTGCATAAAGGTGATGCTGTACCTGCTGGACGTCTCACTCCTGCCAGGCTGCTTTGCTCCCCGCTGCCGGTTGCTCCTCCCCCTGGCGGTTCTGGAGCTCACCTGGCAACACAGGAAACCATGTCAGGAACTGCAGTAGGAGGGAATGGTGATGTTCTGCCACCTTAAAGAACGATGCATGCCAGGCCTGTTGGCACGGCAGGGAGGTGCGTGCCAGCCACAGCAAAGGAGCGGGTAGGGATAAGAAGCCATGCTGCAGGGCAGGAGTGGGCCCATGGCTCAGCACCGTGAAGGGAGCAGGAAAGCACATTTCTGTCTGGGGCATCCTGGCCTCCTCCCCTGTCAGAGGGACAAGACTTACTGGGAGCTTAAAATTACTTTCCCCTACAGAGAGGGAAGAGAAATCCAAGAACTAGTAGAGGAAGTGTTTTATCAAACTGATAACTAGGGTTTATGCTTGTAGTGTTTGCTGCCTTGCTGCTGTGGACAAAGCAAGTCATTCAGCAAGGCAGCAGCGGTGACCAGTTGGGTAGATTTGGAGGTGAGGGTAAGGTCATGCTGTTCATGTGATTCCCGAGCTCAGCAGCACTTGAACAGCAGCCCCAAGCCCCCTTTATCTGGACCCCAAAGCCCTGGGCAGCCAATTAGCCACTTTGCTAGGAACAGTGCAGCAGATTTAATCAGCTCTAAGAAGCTTCAGCAACCCAGAGTGCAGTGAACAGGAACACGGTACAGCAGGATGACCAGGAAGGGCTCCTTTGACCATCTGGAAGAAGCCAACAGAGACAGATAAACAGACTCAGTATCTGGTGGGGAAGAGCCACAAAAAGATCCTTTCAGCCTCAGTCTTACTAACGTAACCTAATATTAGCATAAGCTTCAGTTGGGGTATTGCTGCACCACAGTGCTCATTCCCCTGCAGCTGGTGGAGTCACTGACCCAGCCATGTCAGAGGCCTCCAGCTGGACAGCAGACCTGCTGAGGACAGATGTATCTCTCCAGAAGTGCTGATGCCTCTCAGGCTGGGCCAACAAACAGTTCTTTTACAGGTGTGCTGTGGTTGAAGAGATGTGTAACTGGGTGAAGGAGAAGTGGAAGTGAACAAGTTAAGTAGTATTTGAGTGAATGAGTAAGAGATTGACCGATTATTGACCAGTTATTTACAGAGATGCTACACTCTCAAGACTCTCAAACCTCCATAGTAGTGGAGAAGCTGATGGACTCAGAATCCTGCAAGGTAATTACCCAAGGGTCTGTTGAAGATAAATGCTGAAAGCAGATCACTGCATGTACCGGGAGGAAGCCTCCTCCTCCTGAAAACAATTAGGACTAGCACTTGTTACAACAGGTAGGAGGCCCTGGAACTAGAAATCCAGACAACAGATGAGGTAGTTGAAGATCCTTCTGGAATAGTGAGGCCTTGTAAAACACCACCACCTGTACTCCACATCACAACTGCATCTTTTAAAATGGGAAAAAGGGAGGAGACTCCCTTCTAAGGAGAACAGAGGGCTAATATGCAATCGGACCCAATGCACAGAGAAGTGTGCTGGCTCCCAGGGGCTCAGATAAAGGATGTTACTGAAAAGCTCTTCAGTCTAGTAAGGCTATTTGATTACTATCTGCTATTGGTTGTTCAAACTGGCACCAAAAAAAAAAAGAAAAAAAGAAAAGAAAAAAAAAAAGAGAGACATCTGAGGGCCATCAAAAGAGCCTTCGGATCCTTGGGACAATTTGGAGTCTGAAGTATCACGAGTACAGGTAGTGATTTTCTTGATTTTTACAGTAGCAAAAAATAATATTGATAGGATGATGGACCAAGGAAGTCTTGGTGCCCTGAGCTGGAGGATCATGACTGTGAGAATGATCAGCTCCCAGCTGAGCTTGTGTGGGACCTGCTGCTCCAGCTGGATCCCTACAAATCTATGGGGTCTGACTGGATTCATCCTATCAGGATGGATAGAATTCATTCATCAGAGAATCCTAAAAGAGCTGAGTGATGTTGTTGCAAAATTTCTCTCAATAATTTTTTAGCAGTCTTGGGAATATGGAAAGGTTTCATCTGACTGGAGCTGGAAAATATCCTGATTTTCAAGAAGGAAAGAAGGAAGATCCCAGAAAACACAGGCCTGTCAGTCTCATTTCAATGCCCAGTAAAATCATGGAAAAGAGTATTCTTGGAAGTACTGAAAGACACCCTGGAGGACAATTCAGTCACTGGGCACAGTACAGCTTCATGCGAGGGAAAGCCCTGCTTGTTGAACCAGATTTTCATTTATGACAAGGTAGCACATGCAGGGAAGCCAATTGGTGTGATCTTTTTGGATTTCAGTAAAGCTTCCATTGCTCTCTCTCACTGTATCCTTCTGGGCAAAATGTCCAGCTCACAGCTGGACAAACACATCATGGGATGGGTGAGAACTGGCTCACGGGCTGGGCACAAGGGGTTACAGAGAATGGGGGGGCATCAGACGGGGGACCTGTCACTAGGGGGTTCCACAGGGCTCCATCATCAGGCTTGTGCTCTTTGACATCTTCATACGTGACTCGGACAAAGGATAAAAAGGAATACTAAGTTTGCTGATTACTAAACTTGGAGGAGCTGTTGACTCCCTTGAGTACAGAGAGACCTTAAAAAATTAGAGAGATGATCAATCACCAACCATGAGGTTCAACAAGGAGTGGTGCCAGGTTCTGCACCTGGGATGGGGCAGCCCTGGATGTACAGCCAGACTGGGGAATGAGAGACTGGACAGCAGTGCCATGGAAAGGGCCCTGGGCTTCTGGTCCACGGCAAGTTGAACATGAGCCAGCAGTGCCCTGGCAGCCAGGAGGGCCAAGTGTGTCCTGGGGGACATTGCCCAAAAACTAAAAAAAGGCAGGTGCAGCTTGTAACTGAAGATTTTGAATAGGTATTTTGTTTGCAGATTGTACTGACCATCATTAGAAAGACAGCCTTGTATCTCTCCATCAGGGGAAGCAAAGCTCATTTCTTGGCAAATTACAATGTTTGCTGTTTAGAATTATACCAGCTAGTAATCCTAATTAAAAAAATAAAATTATTTACTTGAAGATTTACTGTGCCAGCCATTGTAAAAACAAGCATGCTGGGTCTAGGAAAGAACTCCATTAACCACCTGGCATTTGACAGAACTGGTACATAAGATCTTACAGCTTTTCAGGGTCCAAGATTAGTGCTTGTTGTCTTGGGGGACTGGAGAATTAAGGCAAAAAGCAGTTTAAGTTCAACATTAAGGGTTAAGCCAAGTAAGAGTTTTATAGTCACAGCAGTAATCTAGCTTGACATGGATTTTCTTTCCCC